CTAAGAGCTACTGTTTCAAAGGCAGTTTCTCCTTCAACGGTCGATGTTTCAGGAAGAGTTACTGTTTCAAAGACTGTTTCTCCTTCAGTGGTTGATGTTTCACTAAGAGCTACTGTTTCGAAGGCAGTTTCTCCTTCAATGGTCGATGTTTCAGGAAGTGTCACTGTTTCAAAGACTGTTTCTCCTTCAGTGGTTGATGTTTCACTAAGAGCTACTGTTTCGAAGGCAGTTTCTCCTTCAGTGGTCGATGTTTCAGTAAATGTCACTGTTTCAAAGACAGTTTCTCCTTCAATGGTTGATGTTTCAGGTAAGGTAACTTTTTCTATCGATTTTTCAGTGGAGTTTGTAGCCAGCTCTGTGGTTGTGGGCAGTATTGATTTCGTTACCGTTGAAATCACTGTGGTGGTACCTGTCAAGAGGACGTAAATAAAGAGATTGCTTTTACAATGAGGAGGAATAGAAGATTACGCAGAGATGCCCGAGATGGTATGTACTAATGTTTTTTGTTTTGTTTTTTTACAGATTTTTATTTGTGTATATATAAATATATATATATATATATGCTTGTCTGTGTATATGTGTATGTAAATGTGTATATACACATATACATATGTCTGTGTGCATATGTAACTTTTTCAAAAAGGGTTTCTGTTAAAATAGTTGAAGTCCCAAAGATCGTAATGGTTTCTGTAGAAGCTGTGGAAATAAGCACAGATGTAATTTATATGTTAATTTTAAGCGCAATGTGCAAAAGAGAAATAGCACACCTTATTAACGCGTTTTTATTAACTTTTCAACCCAGTCAATAGAATAAATGCAGTAACAGATAAAGGCTACTCACTGTGATTTTAATACGAGATGATTGAACTCCATGACATTACTAATTATCTTAAATCTTTCTTTTGTCTTTGAGTTCAAAGCTACCAGGAGGAAATCTCAAAGTTAACAGTCACACTTCTTACTGCTGTGACATTTGATAAAATGGGAGAAACCACGGGAAAAGAAATGGAAAGTTCTTGCCTGCTGTAGACGTAGGTTCATTTTCCAGTTCATTGAGTTCGGAATTCTTTTCCTCTACCTGCGCCTGTAGATTCGAAATGAGAGTTTCTAAAGACTCAACCTGTTCTCCCACGGCGCTACTTGCTGCCTCTGCAGCGGATGTAATATTGTCGACTACACTAGAATCGATGACGAAGGTTCCATTCTCTATGAGTGTGGCAAAATGACCAATGAGTTCATTGAAACAGGTGATTTGGTCAGTTGTGAGGTTGGATAGCTTGGTGGAGAGATCGTTGATCATTGTAAGAAGCAGATCTGTCGGGTCCCCAGTTAAGGCATTGTCCTCATTTACCTCACAATATGGATCGACTGTCACAGTGTCGCCACCTTGGTTGACAGCGTAAGTAGGGGATCGTCTTCTCCTCTTGTGCCTCCCACTGTTACTTATGGCATCAATGACTCGCTGCAACACTGCTTCCGTTTCTGCAAGAGCGCTGGCGGTAGCATTGTTGACAGCAATTTTAGTTTGAAGCTCTTCCAGCTGCTCTTCTATTTTTTTCTTCCTTTGTTCCAGTTCTGTCAAACCAGTTGTTGCTGCAAGTGCTGTTGGTGTTGGCGGGGGCATCGTGGGTGTTCCTGGAGGACGAGTGGATTCAGGAACCGTTCCTGTTTCAAAGAAAATGTCTGCTTCATTGGTCGATGCTTTAAGAAGCGTTACTGTTTCAAAGAGTTTCTTCTTCAATAGTCGATGTTTCAGGAAGCATTACTGATTCATAGACAGTTTATTTTTCAATGGTCGATCTTTCTGGGAGTCTTACTGTTTCAAAGATAGTTTCTCCTTCAATGGTCGATGTTTCAGGTAAAATAACTGTTTCTAGCAATTTCTCAGTAGAATTTGTAGCCAGCTCTGTGGCTGTGGGCATTATTGCTTCTGTTTCCATTGAAATCACTGTGGGGGCGCAAGCTGGAATCGAACCTGTCAAGAGGATGTAAGTAAAGAGATTGCTCTTTCAATCAGAAGGAATAAAAGATTATGCAGAGATGCCTTAGGTGTTATGTACGAATTGACGACGTCTTAGAAATAGTGTTTGTATAGTGTGTGTAGATAGGTATATATAGAGATAAAGAAATGTATAGATAGTGTTAAGTGCAAACTCAATGAGAAAAGAGCATTTCACATCAAACTCATATCTGTGGCAGAAAAATGTCTGCAACGAGACATTCACATTGTTCTGCATGACTTCAATGCAGTATCCGGCTGTGATCAACCTGAATGTGAGATGTCTGTCGGTCCCCATGGCTCAGGAGCTGATCTCAGCAGTGAGAACAGCCTCCTTCTTCGGGATTTTGTTAGGTCCCAAAGATTGAGGATTTCTGGCTACTGGTATCAGCGCATGGTATAGCAATACTGTACCGTGGCCAAGGAGATCGACGACATTCTTGTCAGCACTCGATGAATGATCCTCCAGAACTGCATGGTTTAACGTAGTACCGAGTTCTGTGGCAATGAACATAGGGTGATTGTGGCCACCCTATGGGTCCACTTCAAAATCCTTATCCTTCCAATGACCTCTAGGATGTTTCACTTGAACAGATTGAGGGAAGAGTGTGCCTGGAGGTTCGTTATGGCAGTCTCTAATTGATTCACAGAACTTGAAAACGTGATGGATCCAGTAGCTCTGTCCTTCAAGTGTGAAACACTCAATGCAGCACAGCAGTCTATTGACAAAGCCTGAGGGCAAGGTAGTATTTCATCTCACTAGAGATACTGGAGGCCACAGAAGCATGTCACTTGGCTGAATGGCAGTTAGGATTTTCCCTCCTCGCATATGACTGCAGTCTGCTCAGTGGATGGACAGATCATCTCAGATCATGTTGGGGTTCGTGAACATTATATTGAGCATTTTGAGCAACTGTACCAGGTAGACCCTTCAGCAGTTGCTTTGGACACAAATGGTATCACAATATCTGTACCAGACTCACCCATCAGCGAGTAACCTCCTACCCAACTGAGGTTAGGGAGGTGATCTCTAAGCTTAAGGGTGGGAAAACTGCAGGCATATATGATATCCCTGCTAAACTGCTAAAGGCTGTGGGTGAATCTATGACATGGGACTTGCATACAGTCTTGATTTGTATTTGGTAGTGTGGTTCCATTCCCCTTGACCTGTTGACAGGTGTGGTCATCCCTCTCTGGTAAAGGAAAGGGGATCGATGGGACTGTAACAACTATTGTGGCACTACACTACTCAGTATACTAGGCAAGGTTTTCACTCACATTCTTCTGAAACGGCTCCAGAGACTGGAGCAGTCTGGATTCACTCCTGGCAAGTCCACAATAGACCGTATCCTAACACTTCGAGTCAATGTGGAATGCCGTCGTGAGTTCGGTTGTGGGCTTGCTAGATCCTGAGACTTAGAGAAAGTCTAACTCGGATTATTGGCTTAAAAACAAGCCTATATACTGGTACTGAAAGTGCTGTTAAGTGTGGTAGGGGCCTGTCGAACTTCTTCCCTGTTAACTCAGGGCTGAGGCAGGCCATGGACTGGATAATGGGCAGAGCTACTATCAAAAGTCAATGTGGGCAATATCAAGGTTACCGACCTTAACTTTGCCGACGATGTTGCTATCCTATCTGAGTCTCTAGAATCATTGGTGACAGCTCATTTAGCAATGAGGTGAAGCCCTTGGGCCAAGAGATCTCCTGGACCAAGATGAAGATTCAGGACTTGGGGAGCCTATTAGGGGAACCCATTCAGTCAATATATGCTTGCAGTGAGGACGTCGAAACCACAAAGAGCTTTACATATCTTTTTGGCGTAGTCCATGTCTTTGGGCTTTCAGATCAAGAAATCAGCAGATAGATTGGTCTAGCAGCAGGACCCATGGCCTCGATCAACAAGACCATATGGAGATGTCGGTACATCTGCAGAAGAACCAAGCCTGTATCTTCAAGGCCTTAATACTGCCAGTTTTGCTGTATGGAAGCGAAACCTGGACATTATCTAGTGGCTTGGAGTCTCGTCTTGATGCTTATTGTAACAAGGGTGGAGGAGGCCGACCTAGGAGGTCATGGCTTGGGCCGAGAGCCTGCCTGGAGGCTCACCACGAGGGACCCCCGTGGCTGGAAGCGAAGGATGGATGCGGTCATGCGCCCCCGTCGGCGTTAGCCCCAAGATAATGATGATGATAAATGTATACATATATATTTGTGCTTGTGTATGAATGTATATATATAATATATATATATATAAGTCTCTGTGTGTGCATGGATGTGTGTGTGTGTGTGTGCATGTCTGTGCATGTATATGTATACATCCCTCTATATATATGTATACACATATATAAATACTTATACATATATACACATTGTTACGTCTGTGTATGTATGTATATGTAATTATATGTGTATGTGTGTCTGCGTGTGTGTGTGAGTGTAGAAAAGCATACATCAAATACATCAGTATCCACGTATTCAAAAACAGATGAACATGTACATCCATGAACGCATTTATGACTAAATATAATAACACATACAGTCATGCACATCCAAAAAACACATATATACACACAGCAACAACAAGAAAAGAAGCAAAACCATCCGTCTACACAAAACTTTATAAAATGACATCCGACCCAATAATTGTTGCTCTCATACAAGCTGACCTGATATCGTCAACGGCGGTGTAACAGTAAATGTCGTGGCGGTTGCAGGGAACTCTGTAGAAACCGCTGTTGGAGGTGAGGTTGTTGTAGGTGCTACTGTGGTTGTTGGTGGCACAGTTGGAGGTACTATGGTGGTTGGCAGACCCGTTGTTGGTGGCATTGTTGGCGGTACTGTGGTTGTTGGTGGCACTGTTGGTGGTTCTGTGGTTGTTGGTGGCACTGTTGGTTGTGCAGTGGTTGTTGGTGGTGCAGTGGTTGTTGGAGGCACTGTTGGGGGTGCAGTGGTTGTTGGTGGTATTGTTGGCGGTACTGTGGTTGTTGGTGGCACTGTTGGTTGTGCAGTGGTTGTTGGTGGCACTGTTGGTGGTGCAGTGGTTGTTGGAGGCACTGTTGGTGGTGCAGTGGTTGTTGGTGGCATTGTTGGCGGTACTGTGGTTGTTGGTGGCCCTGTTGGCGGTACTGTGGTTGTAGGTGGCACTGTTGGCGGTTCTGTGGTTGTTGGCGGCACTGTTGGTGGTGCAGGGGTTGTTGGTGGTGCAGTGGTTGTTGGTGGCACTGTTGGCGGTACTGTGGTCGTTGGTGGCACTGTTGGTGGTGCAGTGGTTGTTGGTGGCACTGTTGGTTGTGCAGTGGTTGTTGGTGGTGCAGTGGTTGTTGGTGGCACTGTTGGCGGTTCTGTGGTCGTTGGTGGCACTGTTAGTGGTGCAGTGGTTGTTGGTGGCACTGTTGGTTGTGCAGTGGTTGTTGGTGGTACTGTTGGTGGTACTGTGGTTGTAGGTGGCACTGTTGGCGGTTCTGTGGTTGTTGGTGGCACTGTTGGTGGTGCAGTGGTTGTTGGTGGCACTGTTGGTTGTGCAGTGGTTGTTGGCGGTACTGTGGTCGTTGGTGGCACTGTTGGTGGTGCAGTGGTTGTTGGTGGCACTGTTGGTTGTGCAGTGGTTGTTGGTGGCACTGTTGGTGGTGCAGTGGTTGTTGGTGGCACTGTTGGTGGTGCAGTGGTAGTTGGTAGCACTGTCGGTGGTGCAGTGGTTGTTGGTGGCACTGTTGGTGGTGCAGTGGTCGTAGGTGGCACTGTTGGCGGTACTGTGGTTGTTGGTGGCACTGTTGGTTGTGCAGTGGTCGTAGGTGGCACTGTTGGCGGTTCTGTAGTTGTTGGTGGCACTGTTGGTGGTGCAGTGGTTGTTGGTGGCACTGTTGGCGGTACTGTGGTTGTTGGTGGCACTGTTGGTGGTGCAGTGGTTGTTGGTTGCACTGTTGGTGGTGCAGTGGTTGCTGGTGGCACTGTTGGTGGTGCAGTGGTTGTTGGTGGCACTGTCGGTGGTGCAGTGGTTGTTGGTGGCACTGTCGGTGGTGCAGTGGTCGTTGGTGGCAATGTTGGTGGTGCAGTGGTTGTTGGTGGCCCTGTTGGCAGTACAGTGGTTGTTGGTGGTACTGTTGGTGGTTCTGTGGTTGTTGGTGGCACTGTTGGCGGTACTGTGGTTGTTGGTGGCACTGTTGGCGGTACTGTGGTTGTTGGTGGCACTGTTGGCGGTACTGTGGTTGTTGGTGGCACTGTTGGCGGTACTGTGGTTGTTGGTGGCACTGTTGGTGGTACTGTGGTTGTTGGTGGTGCAGTGGTTGTTGGTGGCACTGTTGGCGGTGCAGTGGTTGTTGGTGGCACTGTTGGCGGTTCTGTGGTTGTTGGTGGCACTGATGCCGGTGCAGTGGTTGTTGGTGGTGCAGTGGTCGTTGGTGGCACTGTTGGCGGTTCTGTGGTTGTTGGTGGCACTGTTGGTTGTGCAGTGGTCGTTGGTGGCACTGTTGGTTGTGCAGTGGTCGTTGGTGGCACTGTTGGTTGTGCAGTGGTCGTTGGTGACACTGTTGGTTGTGCAGTAGTTGTTGGTGGCACTGTTGGTGGTGCAGTGGTCGTAGGTGGCACTGTTGGCGGTTCTGTGGTTGTTGGTGGCACTGTTGGTTGTGCAGTGGTCGTTGGTGGCACTGTTGGTTGTGCAGTGGTCGTTGGTGGCACTGTTGGTTGTGCAGTGGTCGTTGGTGGCACTGTTGGTGGTGCAGTGGTTGTTGGTGGCACTGTTGGTGGTGCAGTGGTTGTTGGTGGCACTGTTGGTGGTGCAGTGGTTGTCGGTGGCACTGCTGGTGGTGCAGTGGTTGTTGGTGGCACTGTTGGCGGTTCTGTGGTTGTTGGTGGCACTGTTGGTGGTGCAGTGGTTGTTGGTGGCACTGTTAGTGGTTCTGTGGTTGTTGGTGGCACTGTTGGTTGTGCAGTAGTTGTTGGTGGCACTGTTGGTGGTGCAGTGGTCGTTGGTGACACTGTTGGTGGTGCAGTGGTTGTTGGTGGCACTGTTGGTTGTGTAGTGGTTGTTGGTGGTACTGTTGGTGGTGCAGTGGTTGTTGGTGGCACTGTTGGTTGTGCAGTGGTCGTTGGTGGCACTGTTGGCGGTTCTGTGGTTGTTGGTGGCACTGTTGGTTGTGCAGTGGTTGTTGGTGGCACTGTTGGTTGTGCAGTGGTTGTTGGTGGCACTGTTGGCGGTTCTGTGGTTGTTGGTGGCACTGTTGGTTGTGCAGTAGATGTTGGTGGCACTGTTGGTGGTGCAGTGGTTGTTGGTGGCACTGTTGGTGGTGCAGTGGTTGTTGGTGGCACTGTTGGTGGTGTAGTGGTTGTCGGTGGCACTGCTGGTGGTGCAGTGGTTGTTGGTGGCACTGTTGGCGGTTCTGTGGTTGTTGGTGGCACTGTTGGTGGTACAGTGGTTGTTGGTGGCACTGTTGGCGGTTCTGTGGTTGTTGGTGGCACTGTTGGTTGTGCAGTAGTTGTTAGTGGCACTGTTGGTTGTGCAGTGGTTGTTGGAGGCACTTTTGGTGGTGCAGTGGTTGTTGGTGGCACTGTTGGCGGTTCTGTGGTTGTTGGTGGCACTGTTGGTTGTGCAGTAGTTGTTGGTGGCACTGTTGGTTGTGCAGTGGTTGTTGGTGGTACTGTTGGTTGTGCAGTGGTTGTTGGTGGCACTGTTGGTTGTGCAGTGGTCGTTGGTGGCACTGTTGGCGGTTCTGTGGTTGTTGGTGGCACTGTTGGCGGTTCTGTGGTTGTTGGTGGCACTGTTGGCGGTTCTGTGGTTGTTGGTGGCACTGTTGGTTGTGCAGTGGTCGTTGGTGGCACTGTTGGCGGTTCTGTGGTTGTTGGTGGCACTGTTGGCGGTTCTGTGGTTGTTGGTGGCACTGTTGGTGGTGCAGTGGTTGTTGGAGGCACTGTTGGTGGTGCAGTGGTTGTTGGTGGCACTGTTGGCGGTTCTGTGGTTGTTGGTGGCACTGTTGGTTGTGCAGTAGTTGTTGGTGGCACTGTTGGTTGTGCAGTGGTCGTTGGTGGTACTGTTGGTGGTGCAGTGGTTGTTGGTGGCACTGTTGGTTGTGCAGTGGTCGTTGGTGGCACTGTTGGCGGTTCTGTGGTTGTTGGTGGCACTGTTGGCGGTTCTGTGGGTGTTGGTGGCACTGTTGGTTGTGCAGTGGTCGTTGGTGGCACTGTTGGCGGTTCTGTGGTTGTTGGTGGCACTGTTGGCGGTTCTGTGGTTGTTGGTGGCACTGTTGGTGGTGCAGTGGTCGTTGGTGGCACTGTTGGTGGTGCAGTGGTTGTTGGTGGCACTGTTGGTTGTGCAGTGGTTGTTGGTGGTACTGTTGGTGGTGCAGTGGTTGTTGGTGGCACTGTTGGTTGTGCAGTGGTTGTTGGTGGCACTGTTGGTTGTGCAGTGGTCGTTGGTGGCACTGTTGGCGGTTCTGTGGTTGTTGGTGGCACTGTTGGCGGTTCTGTGGTTGTTGGTGGCACTGTTGGTTGTGCAGTGGTTGTTGGTGGCACTGTTGGCGGTTCTGTGGTTGTTGGTGGCACTGTTGGTTGTGCAGTAGTTGTTGGTGGCACTGTTGGGGGTGCAGTGGTTGTTGGTGGCACTGTTGGTGGTGCAGTGGTTGTTGGTGGCACTGTTGGTTGTGCAGTGGTTGTTGGTGGCACTGTTGGTTGTGCAGTGGTCGTTGGTGGCACTGTTGGCGGTTCTGTGGTTGTTGGTGGCACTGTTTGCGGTTCTGTGGTTGTTGGTGGCACTGTTGGTGGTGCAGTGGTTGTTGGTGGCACTGTTGGTGGTGCAGTGGTTGTTGGTGGCACTGTTGGTTGTGCAGTGGTTGTTGGTGGCACTGTTGGTTGTGCAGTGGTCGTTGGTGGCACTGTTGGCGGTTCTGTGGTTGTTGGTGGCACTGTTGGCGGTTCTGTGGTTGTTGGTGGTACAGTTGATGGCACTGTGGTTGTAGAGGGCGCTGCAGTTGTTGGTGGTACTGTTGTTCTTTGTGGGACGGTACTTGTGATAAGAATGGCGGTGGTTGATTCCTCTGTGGTTGTGTATATTTTTTCTGTAGAGCTTGTGGCTGTTTCTGTGAAAAGTAAGTCATATAATGGACATTACCAATGCATCACTGATTGTCTAAGTTCTTATACCTTTAATTCTTAAATGGCTGAAATTGCGGGTGAGGCACTTAAAGTGTTATGTATACCTACATGTATAAACTCACTCCTCACTCACCCACTCACTCACTCTCACACAGACTATGAGAAGGAATTAGAGCTGTTGGCCACATCGCATCCAAGCCGGGTAGACAAAGAGGCTCAAAATGTTGAAGAAGGGGTTGGCGTAAATAAAATGCCTGCAACAGTATGCAAATAGGCATGTATGTCCCATCAAGGCTGTTGGGTTTCGACGTAAACTGACTTGATATTATTGCTGTAGATGCAGTTTATTTTATTTTTAACATCCAAACCATGATTCTTTAATCAGGAATTCATTCACTTAGTTCGTAAACTGCTTAGTATTAGCACAAACCTCATATTTTTTAAGTTAATGTTAATTCTGGAACCAAAATAGGATTGTACGGTATCACTGAATATGCAATTTATCTTACACATATAAGATTCCTTGAAAATTCAAATACATCTAAAGTCTCCTCCATGTCTTAATCTTGACAGGAAAAAATATACACATATATATATGGAAGATCTATAAGTGCTAACAGTGAGTTTTAAGTTTTAATATACGTAGTAACATTACTAGGTAAATTCACGTATTTTGGAAATATTAATTTTCATGTCTAAGCTTCACATGGGTTCCTTTAGCATAATCGCCTAAACCGCTTTTTGTAATTCTCTGACAAGAATACATCACTATCGTTATATATATATATGCATATATATATATATATATATATATATATATATATATATATATATGTGTGTGTGTGTGTGTGTGTGTGTGTGTGTGTGTGTGTATATATATATATATATGTGTGTGTGTGTGTGTGTGTGTGTGTGTG